TGGGGAGATAAGTAGCTTGCCAAAAGGTCACACAGCTAGTAAATAGCCAAGCTGGAGTTTTCTGTGGCACAGCTGAGCCTCCGGTCCTGGGAAGCGTAAAGGCCTCAGTTCAGTAAATACGGACTTGCTTTCCGATCCTACTCCATGAGCATTTACTCTGTCAGGAGCTCTGGTGGGAAGTGATTAAAGCTCACAGCTGCTAACCAAAATGTCTCCCCGCAGGAGAAAGATGAGGCAGTCTGTTTCCGTAAAGATTGATGGCCTTGGAAAGCCTATGGAACGGTTCTACTCTGTCCTCTTTGGGCGCTAAGAGTCAGAATCAACTGGATGGCCGTGGGGTTTTTGCTCCATGTTTGGCAAGGTGGTAGGTGCCAGGCAGAGAGTCTCAGTACATCCTCACGAAAGCCCTTGAGGGTGGTTTCATCTCCGTTCATAGATTGGGAGACAGGCCCAGGTGGGGACAGCAGCTTGGCTGAGGACACAGCTGTCAGTGGAGGAGCTGGGATTTGAACTCAGGTTTGTCTGGCTCTTCAGTCCACGTGAATAACCTCACTTCCCCAGCACGAGCTCTGTATGGTGCCTTGTTTTGTAAGAGCTCCTAACCTGGAGGAGGAATGAAGTCCCCACGTGACTAACAGGAGGCCAGATAGGAAACATACTCAGACGTGAGCAAAGGGTGCTGGGAACGAGGTGAGGCGGGTCCGGAAAGTCTCTGGGTGAAGTGGTATTTGAACTGTCCTTGAGAGAGGAGTTGAGGAAGGGGCACTCCAGGCAGGGAGAACGGGCGTTAAAGCTCAGGAAATCTGTTGGTTGCTGGAATCCCACAGGGAGCCGGGGGAGCAACCCTGGAATGTCCCAGTGAGGAGCCTAGTGTTGGCTGGGAGCAATGGGGGGAGGGTGCCAATTGGAACGAGGCTTCTTCCTCTACCCACTAAATCACTTAAGGATCAAAGAAGGGCTCTTCTGGTTTCTGTGACTGTAACACCACCCAGGCCTTGTCAATCCCGAGGCTATGGTGAGAGGAGGAATTCCTGCCGGATGCCTCCTGACTGTTGCTTTTTCAGGGAGGACATTTAACTGCAGATGAGGGAAAATACAGGCTCACTTGTAACCCTGACACCTAGAAAGAACTACGTGAACTTGGTTTCTGTCCTTCTAGACTTTGTTCTGTGTGGGTGTGTAAGCGTGTGAATGTGTATCTTAGTTCCCTACTGCTGCTGTGATGGAAATACCACAAGGGGGTGGCTTTTATGAACAGAAATTTACTTTCTCGTTATTAGAAGGCTAGAAGTGTGAATTCAGGGCACTGGCGCCAGGGGAAGTCTTCTGGGAAAAGGTCCTTGTCTCTTCAGTGTCTGCTCCTGGGCTCCCTGAAATCATCACGTGTGATGGCGTCTCTCTTCCCCTGTCTCTACATGTTTCTCTCTGGCTAATCAGCTTGGTTTATATCTCAAAGGTGATTGCTTTAAGACACGCCTTACACTGTACGGCATTACCAACATGGCAAAGAAAACACTATTCCCAAATGGAGTTACAGCCACAACTATACCCTACCTAAACCCATTGCCACTGAGGCGACTGCCACTCAGAGTGACCTTATGTGACCCTGTGTAACAGAATAGAACTGCCCTGGGTTCTGGTTTCCAGGGCTGCCAAATCTTTCTCCCATCCACAGCATGTTGTGCTGTTATTGGTATGTGCCATCCAGTTGGACCTGACTCATAG